CCCTCCCCTCTCAGTTCCGTTTAAGGGGTGGAGTAAGGTAGGCAGGTGGAGTAAGGTATAGTCTCGCAGGTAGGCAGGTCTTCGCACCTGTCTGCCTGACTTATGCAGTTCCGCTTGACCCTGTTCAAACCCGGGTTCAGATGGACTGCTTGCTGGATCAAACAGGAACAGTGAACCGGTGTCATGGTGCCCCCGGGGTGATGGAGTCCTCAGCCTCGCTGTTACTGCCATGGCTCCCGGGGCTCACTGAACCTGCCTGGTTGCTGCTTCTTGGCGAAGCGTTCGACTGTCCAGTCTCAGCTGCAGCTGGTGAGTGTTGCCAACCATGGTGCGGTGATCTCGGTGTTAGTTCGGAATAAACAAGTGCTGGTTCTAATTCTGAGTTCACTGCTTCCCCTCCCCCCCTAGTGTCAAAGTTAGGGTCAGGGTTGGAAATGTGGTTAGTCTGGAGCACAGTTGGTCAATATGGCGTTTCCATGGTCTGCCATCAATGGTGAGTAGACGGTAGGAGCGGGAGCCCGTAACTTGAGTTACCTGGGCAGGAATCCAAAGGGGATCCCCAGAAATTTTTTTTGCGAAAACAAGGTCTCCTACCTTGAAAACACGGTGCTTGCTGCTGGAACCCAGGGGCTTTTCCAGGGTGTAGGCAGGGTGCAAACGATCTAGAGGCGATCTGAGTTTCCTGGCCATCAGGAGTTCAGCTGGGCTCTTGTTGGTCGTGCTGTTTGGTGTGATGTGTTGTAGGAGCAGCATTCTAGTGACTTTGTCATGGATGTTGCCTTGATCCATTTTCTGCAGGGTTTTCTTTGTAAACTGAACCATTCGTTCAGCCCGGCCATTCGCCGCAGGATGAGCCGGCGATGTGAGTGCGTGTCGGATGCCCTGTTCCACTAAATACTGTTCAAAGGCTAAGGCAGTAAATTGGGGCCCATTGTCAGAGACCAGGACATCTGGTAACCCGTGTGTGGCGAAGAGTCTGTTCAGTTTTTTAATGACCGCCTCAGTAGTGGTTGCTTTCATTTTATTGACCTCAAGCCAGTTTGAGTAGGCATCTACAGTTATTAAGAAGGTGTGGCCTCTCATAGGTCCCGCAAAGTCAACATGAATGCGAGACCAAGGACCCCTGGGTGTTTCCCATTCTGCTGGTGGGGCTTTAGATGGAGCTGAGTGGTTTTCCTGGCATTTGTTACAAGAGGCGACCCAGGTTTCGATTTGTTTGTCCATACCTGGCCACCAGGCGTAACTTCTTGCCAGCGCTTTCATACGCATGATGCCTGGGTGTCCATCGTGTAGCATTTGCAAGACCCTTTTTTGTAACCTAGTGGGTAGAACAACTCGGTCTCCCCACAAAACACACCCCTTTTGTGAAAAAAGTTCCGTTTGTCTGTTTTTAAACAGCTTAAACATTTCCTTAGTGTCGTAATCTGGCCATCCCCTCTATTTTCTCCAAAAAATACCAAAATTGATGAAACAGGGCTAGTTTTCGGCCTGCAAAGCCTGCAGAAGCCTTCCTCAAGCCTTTGGGAGGCCAAAAAAATCCTCAAACTGGCCGAAAATCAGCTGTGAGTGCAGTGCAGGTAAGGGGGCGGCATGGGTGGGTGGGTATTTTGCGCGCATACGTAGGGGGCATGGGGGAGGTGTGCATTGCCTTCTGGGTTCTGGCATGTGAGTGCGAGCATGCAAGTGCGCACACAATTTTCGGCACAGGAGCCCAAAAAGTTTAGCCACTACTGTCCTAAGGGCATTTCAGACAAAGGACAACCCCTCCCCGCCCAGCGGCATCTCTGAAACTTATAAAAATCCATGTATTCAATGAAGCTAATTGGTCAGTTGCTCCCAAATCACAGGCTGGTTCTATTCATCAAATAAATGGACCTTTCTTTCCAATCAGCCTCCATGTTCTTTCCAGTTTCTTTTTCCCAGCTTGGAGCGGAACCTGGATTTTTCTTCCAACACCAAGATAGCATATAAAACATTATAATAGAAGGCCTGCCCTTTTGTACAAAGTAAGATGCTTTATTTCAGTCAATGACCAACATAGACTGTTAGACTAAGAATATAATAGTCCTCAACTTACAACAGTTCATTTAGTAACCGTTTGAAGTTACAGCACTAAAAAAGTGACCGATGACCATTTTTCACGCTTATGATTATTGCAGCGTCCTCCTGGTCACATGAGCAAAATTTGGACACTTGGCAACTGGCATGTACTTATGATGGTTGCAATGTTCCAGAGTCATGTGATTCCCCTCTTGCAATCTTCTTGCAAGCAAAGTCAACGGGGAAGGCAGATTCACCTATCAACCATATTGTTAATTTAACTATTGCAGTGATTCATTTAACCACTATGGCAAGAAAAGTTGTAAAATGGGGACAAAAATCACTTAACAACTGTCTTGCTCATAAACATAGAGTTTGTGCTCATCTATAATTGTAAGTCAAGGAATACCTGTACAATAAAGCATCCATATAAATATAAAGAAAATGAGTAAAATATGACATCAAATTGCAAAATAAACCTATGAATTTACAGATTACAGGGTTGGAAAGGACCTTGTAGGTCATCTACTCCAACCTCCCTACCCAAGCAGGAGACCCTACATCATTTCTGACAAGTTGCAGTCCAATCTCTTCTTCAAAGCTTCCAGTGATGAAGCTCCCACAACTTCTTATGGCAACTTCTGTTCCATGGGTTGATTGCTCTCACTGTTAGAAAATGTCTCCTTATTTCTAGGTTGAATCTCTCCTTGGCCAGTTTTCATCCATTATTCCTTATCTGGCCTTCAGGTGCTTTAGAAAATAGCTTGACCCCCTCCTCTCTGTGGCAGCCCCTCAAATATTGGAACACTTGCTATCATGTCTCCCCTGGTCTTTTTCTTCACTAGACTAGCCATGTCCAGTTCCTGCAACCATTCATTATATGTTTTAGCCTCTAGTCCCCTAATATATCCTGGTTGCTCTTCTCTAGAATTTTTTTCTAGAGTCTCAACATCTTTTTTTATAATGTGGTGACCAAAACTGGATGCAGTTTTGAACTCTATAAAAATATTCTAAACAACCAAACCTATAAAATCTATTAACCTATGATACACAAAGACTCAATTAATCTGATGCATTTAAACTGAAATTGATATTATGGTGGAACAAAATATAGGATGTAAATTATTGTATTGCATAATGCACTATCTGATCACTTTAAATTACCAGTATATAGATGCTATGCAGGATAGAATGAAGAAGATATATTTTTTGAAATCTCCAAGCAAGATTTCAATATTCAAGGAAATTGTATCTTTTATAATGGACAACAAATACCAAAGATAAAATTAGTCTTGTTAAAAGTGGTATTAAATAGTATGCAAATGGCTGTGCTGTGTTGTGGTGGTGCAGTGGTTAGACTGTAGTGCTGTAGCATACTTCTGCTGCCTGCCAGCTGTCTGCAATTTGGCAGCTCAATTCTCACCAGGCTCAAAGGTTGACTCAGCCTTCCATCTTTCTGAGATCAGTAAAATGAGGACCCAGATTGTTGGGGCAATATGCTGATTCTGTAAACTGCTTAGAGAAGGCTGTAAAGCACTGTGAAGCAGTATATAAGTCTAAATGCTATTGTTATTGCTAAATATCACTGCAAAAATGCCAGTACAGAGAAACAAAATCAATAGTAGCTGTTAGGAATATAAGTCACCTAACAGATATTTAGGTTAGAAATATATAAACCAGGATAAACATTTTAAAACCGTATCTTTAAGAAAATGCAAAACTGTAATTAGGTGTGGTTTCTCAAATGGCCATAAGATGGAGCCAGAAACCTGGGTTGTTTAGTCTGAGTCTCAGAAGATAGTGTGAGTGTATCTCTGTTTCCTTCTGTTGGAAAGTATTGCCGTTGCTCCATTTCTTCTAATAGACTGATATTACTGGATTTAATGTAACTCTGATACTGAACTGTTTTTGACACTGGAATTTGATATTTGGATTATCCCTGGATGAAAACTGACTGATTTTACCAGTAAATGACTTTGGACTGCCTATTTTGGACTTTGCTTAACGTTTCTGGAAGTAAAAACCTACATTTACTGTACAGTGTATCTGTGTGCTGTATGTGTATTATTCAAACACTCCTCTCAAATACGTCTCCCTGTATGCGCTCATTCTCCTAACAGGGAATTACCTCAACAGTAGCTTCAACACTTCCTATTCATTAGAAGGAAATGCTTCCCTTCTAAGACAACATTAATCATAGTGGAACTATATTTAGATTTATCAATCTGTTTCAGATCAGGCCGAAAATGAAGAGTTGTACCAAAAAAGACCCTATTCTGGTATGCAAGATTTTTTCATTTTCCTCCATTGCTTCACTTTGGCATGCTTAATATAGCATTCTGCAACCATGCTGTGGTTCTGTAACCACACTGATATTGTCTTATACAAATTGCAGAAGTCTGTAGAGATCCATAGTCATCCAGGTTGTGGTTGTCCCAAAGGTTCTTTTTCAGGAGGCAACTGGACTTTTCTTTTGAGGATGTTTCACTTCCCATCCAAGAAGCTTCTTCAGCTCTGACAGGATAGTGATAAATGGAAGGATTTATATTCCTTGCAGTCATATTCCAAGTGCTTCAACGGCCCTCTAGTCTAAAAGGATGTAGATTACCAGCTGTCTGCAAGGAATATAAATCCTTTGAGTCCCCACTATCCTGCCAGAGCTGAAGAAGCTTCTTGGATGAGAAGCAAAATGTCTTCAAAAGAAAAACAACAACAAGAAAGTCCAATTGCCTCCTGAAAAAGCACCTTTGGGACAAATTGGATAATATCCCTGTTCTAATAGATTTATCTGAAACAATTATATCAATCCAGTGGGGCAGAAGACTTTCTTTGGTCATTAGTTCAGGGTATTGTGTATCAATGCAGTTTCAGATTTATTTACACGATCTCCCAATTCAAGGACAATATTTGAAATACATTGACATAACTATAAAGGAGAATATTTGTAGCTCAGGGTCGAAATGAGGGCTACTTGGTGCTCTCCAAGTTCGGTTGTTTTCTTGTAGATGTTTCATCACCCAAACCAGGTAACATCATCAATGCTAGTAAGGAATGGAAAACAAACCCAATTCCTTACTAGCACTGATAATGTTAGTTAGTTTGGGTAATGAAACATCTTCAAGAAAACAACCAAGCTCAGAGATCATGAAGAACCCACACATTGTGGTACCTGAAGGATATTTGTGAGGAATTTAGAATTGCAGGACCTCCCATTATTAAAATGCATCTTCAGAATATCAGGGCTTCTATCACAATGCTTCATTCACTATTTTGCTGATTTATTTTTTTTATCTAATCTCATCTTGGGGACACTACCGTGCCAAATTCCACCAGTTTAAAGTTATTTTAAGTGGATTTTGAAATATCCTTTTTTTTTTTGTAGAATTTTCTGTCTAGGAATTGGGAATTTCTAGAATAGAATAGATCCAATAATCCCCAAATTCCAGCTTTTAAGTTATCTTATCACTTGTTGGAGAGTGCTATCACTGGTATTAATTAAAAACATGAGACTTGAAAAAAACTTTTGAAGAATGTAGTTAAATGTTTTGTTACATCTATACTGCCAAGAACTGCATCAGTTTTGAAATGTGGAACCCATTACATTTCAATCTCCACTTGCATCTCTGCAAACAAAAATGTGCAAACATTGAATTCTTTCTTCTCATGATTTTTGTTCACCATCCATGAAATACAATGTTCTATGTATTCTGTGATCACGCTGCTTACCGCAGGCAAAATCTTAATGTAGAAGATTTTATAGTAAAAAGTGTATACGTGTTTGCAATTTAAAAAAAAAATCAGGGTACAGTTTCAGAGCATGGATTTAACCAAATAGTAATGGCAATTTTGTGCAAGACTCAGGGGATATTTATAAATATATTAAAATTTCAAAAACTATAGACGAAGCCAGAAGTGCTGAATGCATTCCCATCTCAGATAAGCACTCAGCAAATTAAAGCTTCAAAAGGTTCTTACAGACAGAAACATGGCTTGAATTAAGGGTATTTTGGCAGAAAGTATGTCAACTTGTTTCTAAAAAAGATCCTATAAAAGAACATATAATTTTCAAATGGAAAACTTTTAAGAGGTATATAAAAGGCTGGATTGAAAGATTGATAAAGAGATGGAAAGAGACTATAGAGGTCTATATTTTTAATTGGCTGTATATATTTGTACTTCAATTTTAATGATTTTTCTTTCTTATCCAGTGCTTTGCTCATAATTTAAATGCTGTACAGCAAAAGAAGAGTTTTTTTAAAGAGCTGGCTTTTGGTTGTTCTCAGTGATAAATGTTTAATATATGCAAAGCAAGAAAATATTGGATAAAACTACTATGCAAAGTAATTAGAAAGTAATTTCATTCCACATTATTGTGCATGTTATTCCTTAAAGAGTGGAAACATTCTTCAAGGATGTTCCAAAGATGCCCCAGAACTGTAGAAGCTTCTTGCATGAGAAGCAAAACATTTTCAAGGTTAAAAAAAACTAGGAAAGTCCCATTGCCTTTTGGAAAATCACCTTTGGGACAATCATGATCTGGATGGTTGAGAATCTCCATAGATATTATTCAAGGATTCTAAAGGAAATTCAAATACTGTTTCACCATATGTTGAGATGCTTTGGGAAGGAAAGCTGGTGGAAAGGTTTCCATCAGATACAGTCTCAACAATGAAAGTTGAAAGCATTCTTAAGAAGAGAGCTACTAAATCAAAAATGTAGGATTAAATACTTGCTTTACCAATTATTTACCAAGCACAACTGATCCCTTTTATTTGAGTGTATTATAAATAACATAAACTCATGAAGTTTTATCTTCTCATTGGCACTTTTGAGAGACAGCAAAACAATCAGTTAACAATAACATTGGAGAAGTAGCGCACTATAATGATAAAACTTATGAGCTGTGAAATCGCTTTTTCAAACTTCTGCTAATCCATAACTACATAGATTTGAAGCTATGTTAAGCCAGGTCACTGGTATCTCAACCTCAAACTCCTTATGATTAAAATAATGGCAATAAAATTGGTCAGCTTCAACATTTGATTAGGAGGATTTATTGAAAGAAAAGGGCATGTAAGAAAGTGTAGGATAGTTACTCTGCAACTAACCCAATCAAATCAGGGATTTCTTTCCCTCCTTTTGGCATTTTTAAATGCAGAATGCAACCAAGAATGCACAGATTGAATAATGAACAGAACCTCAAGTGGGAAGTGAAACCTAATCTTAAAACAATTAAAAAACAGTAAGTCCCCAAAGGTGCTTTTTCAAGAGTCAACTGGACTTTCTGGTTTTTCTTTGAAGACATTTCACTTGTCATCAGGGGTGGGATTCTACTGGTTTGGAAAACTGGATGTTAAACTTACATCTGGTTCACTGAACTGGTAGTTGAACTGACTGGCCCCATCCTGCCCCTCCATGTGGCCCATTTTGGATGCAGGTAAGTGCAGGGTCTGTGTAGGGGCTCTGGAAGAGCAAAAACTGGGCCAAACCAGAAGTTCTGAAGTCCAAAAATGGACCTGTTTCCAGCTTCCAGAGGCTCTTTGGAGTTCAGGGGAGGCTGTTTTCACCCTCCCAGAGGCCCGAGGGAAGCCTCCAGATTCTGGGGAGGGCAAAAAATGAACTTTCCAGAAGTACAGGTAGGCCATGCCCACCATGGTCATGCCCACCAGCAACCAGCAGAGAACCGGTTGCTGGTATTTTTGAATCCCACCCCTGCTTCTCATCCAAGAAGCTCAAGAAGCTTCTTGGATGAGACATGAAACATCTTCAAAAAAAAAAAAAACCCAGAAAGTCCAGTTGCCTCTTGAAAAAACAACCTTTGGGATAACCATGACCGGGATGACTGAGAAACTCCATGGATACCAGCAGTAGCTTTCCTTCTATAGAGATGGGCATGTGGGCAGATAATGTTACAAAAAAAGTTGGCTGATTCTTTTCTATACTCCCTTTCCTTCTTTTGATCCCTACAGTTGATGGCCAGAGCACCTATATTGAATGTGTACATTAAGCATCAATACAACTGAATGAGTGACTGGGTTGCAGCAACCAGAAGATGCACTGGTTTCAGTATTCCAGTAGTCATTGCCAGCACTGTCCAAAGATGTTTCCATGGTCATGTGGCCAGCATCACTTCACAGAGCAATATTACCTTCCCACTGAAGTGATACTTATTTATCTATTAGTGTTTTGCATGCTTTGGAACTGCCAGGTTGGCAGGAATTGAGGTGAGAATGGGAGCTCACGCATCGTGCAGTGTTCAGCTTTAGATCCCAGGCTGTTAGCTTTCCAGCTGACAATCTCAGCATCAAGCCACTATGCTGCCATCAGCTTTCCAACCATCAAGCCACTATCAAGCCACCATCTGCTGATGCACAGAGTCACTCAAAATGATCTCTTGCTCCCTGTCCCCCACCCACCAATATCTTTTTAATCTGTAAATATATGGATCTTCTCTTCTGGCTTATTCATTCTCAGTCAAGTATAGGGACAACCAGTTAGCTGCATTTGTAACATGTTGCTTTGCAGAAGCTTCTCTGGTAATAAATTTGATAAGTTTTTTTGTTTGTGTTTGTTTATTTGTTTGTTTAAACATGCAGTTCAGAATTCAAGAAAAGCCTGATGAGAGAGCACTGTTTGTTTGTTTGTTTGTTTTAAATCATGAGGTATCAATGATTCCCTTGTGAGTTTAATAATTAAATGAAAGCAATCCATCTGGAGGTGTATTTCAATCATTATCACATTTATTTCCTCAGCTCCATAAGATTCTTCAACAGTTGCTGATAGGAGAGTTAATGGCTGGCTGATATAATTAAAGTGGAGTCTACTTTAGTCAATGCTTTTAGTGGTGATGTACATGAGAAAATTCCTGAGAGTGGCATCCATTCGGAGCAGTGAAGCTCAGATTGTAAGCCTAGCACTTAATTTATTGCATCCTACCAAGAGGAGAGCCCAGGAGCATGTGTTCTAGGCCTGTGTGTCTGTGAAGAAAAGCAGAAAGCTATAACTTATATTAAAGAATTGTTAGACTGAGGGGGGGTTTTGTGTGTGTGTGTGTATGTATGTGTGTAATATAATATATATTATTGGTAAACTGAGACCTTTTGAGCATTGAATTATAAAAGTGCAGACTAAGATTTTTTGACTTAGATGCATCCCAATTTTTTTATCTTACTGAGTATCTATGGAAATTCAGCAGTTCCAAGTAGGTTCCGCACCTATTCGTAGTATTCGGGTGAAACTGAGGGAACAGATAAACCTCCAAGTGGCCTCAATGACTCTCAAAAAGAGTGCTAATGACCAGATAACTGCAAGGAATACAAATCCTTCCATTCTCCACTAGTCAGAACTGAAGAAGCTTCTTTGATGAGAACCAAAAACATCTTTAATGAAAAAAACAAAGGAAGACCAGTTGCCTTATGAAAAAGCATCATTGGGTTTCTTTGTTGAGCTTTTTTTCCATTCTTATGGCTAACTTCAGCACCAGACAGCTGCTACATATAGATGTCTTCCTTGATTTCTTTGCACAGGAAAACAGTATTTTCAAGTGTTATACTTGCAAATGTCCATGTTGAGCAAAATTGTGCTTGACTAGTGGGACTAATATCTTAAAATAGTGCTCACAATATTTTTGAACACTCTACTGCTTAGCCACCAGTCTTATTTTAGCCTCTGGGCATCCTATTCTGCAGAACACTTTATCTTGAAAATCCATTTGCATCCCAAAGGTGTTTTTTTTCCCCCACATGGGTAGTTTGATAAGTTTCCAAGTGTCATTCTATTGAACACTTCAATTTCCTCTCCTGCAGCCTTTTTTTCTTTAGTCTCTTCAGTGGCATTATTTTGACATCTAAATGCAAGATATTTCCATTTTTTCCCCACTTCATCACAAAGGACAGATTTTGTGATGAAATCCCTTTGTCTCGGTCCTCTTGAACTGTCTAGTCAATGGTATCTCAATTTTCTTTTCTCTTTTTAACCATACAGAAAACTTCTGGACATGTTATAAGGACTCCTCTGTGCTTGCTGCTTGGCTGATGTGATAGAACAAGGATGTCAAACTCAATTTCATTGAGGGACACATCAGGATTGTGTTTGACCTCAGGGGGTGGCATGAGTGTGACCAGGGTGGGCATGGTGAGTTTGACATCACTTGCGTCAGGGGGTGCCTATGGTGGCCTGAGCACTACACCAGCAAAAATGGAGTTTGGGTGGGCCATTTCCAGGTGCAATGGCCTCCTGCAGCCCTCTGCCAGCAAAAACGGAGTTCCCTTTTTGCTGGCAGAAGGCTACAGGAGGCGGTTGCACCAAAAACGGGGCCTGGGAGGGCTGCGTGCAAGTGAGTCCTTTGCTGTTTCCAGGGCAGCCCTGCAGGCCAGATCTAAGTACCCCATGGGTCGGATCTGGACCCCCAGGCCTTAAGTTTGACATCCCTGTGATAGAAACTTGACCAGGTTCTCAGGATGAAGGAAGTACATTCCAGAGGAGCAAAAGGCAGCAAGTTTAGGTAGCTTGTGTGGGAAAATTAATTAATCAATCAATCAATCACATGGGCATTTGTACATTGAAAGCCAGGGAGTCTACACTTTTATTACAAAGTAGTTTTGACTAACTAAGTTTGCTAGTTTATTTCATTCATGCTGCACACTATCCAGGGTGTACCGCCTATGTACAGTAGCCTCACATACAGAGTGGCTAACAACATTCTGTGGGAGTATCAGTATCATTCGGGGCTTTTCTCCACTGATTTCACCTCACATTCTTGCAGGTCTGGTGCCAGTTGCTTTCTTGTTACTGCACAACTATACTTCTGTGGAAGAAGGAGAGTTAAGAGGGCCCTTCCTTAGTATTTCTCAGTGCATATGTTTTGTGGGACAAGTAGTCAGCTTTACTTTGGTAAGATTTTGTGTTCAGGTGAGGAACAATAAAGGACTGCTTAGAACAGAGGTGGTATTCAGCAGGTTCTGACCAGTTCTGGAGAACTGGTAGTGGAAATTTTTTAGTAGTCTGGAATACCACCTCTGACTGGCCCTGCCCCCATCTATTTTCTGCCTCCTGAGTCCCAGCTGGGTCTTCTTTTGTTGACCTGCACAGAACGGAGAACGGAACTGGAAAGCAGGTTAGTGGAGTGGGGAGGTAATAGAGATTTTACAGTATCCTTCCCCTGGAGTGGGGGGAATGAAGATTTTACACTATCCTTCCCCTGCCATGCCCACCAAGCCACGCTCACCAAGCCACACCCACAGAACTGGTAGTAAAAAAAATTGAATCCCACCACTGGCTTAGAATAATCTCAAAGTGTCCTCTTTTTTTTGAGCCTGACATCTCATAATTACTTTTTCCCCTTCTCATATTTTTTTTTAATGTGTGCACTTTAATGCTTTACTTACAAGTTGTGTGACATTTGTAGTATTATGGTTATCTCGCCTTTCTTATCATCTATAGTTCGGTTTAGTTCAGTTTTCTTTTAGCACCTTAATTCTTTTAGGGGGCATCATTTGGACTTTCTTCATCTGTGCCTTTATTTGGATCTTGCCCAAGTGATATTAACTGCTTCACCCATTATTTACCTCCCAGCCATCCATCTTGCAAGGTGTACTTCAGTCAGGGAATAATAATTTGTTCTCTTAGTCACACCATTTTGACCGGGGTGATAGGCCACTGTATTTCATGTTCAGTCTCCTGTTATTTAAGGTACCTTCATAATTTGCCTGCTATATATATCTTCCCGTTGTCTGTGCTCAGAAACCTGAAGCATTCTTCCAAATTTACTAAAGCCAGATATTTATTAAATGTCTTCAATGCCTGTTTTCCTTGAGCAACATGTGAATCTTGTAAATCATCTATGAATGTATATTTGGGTGATCCAGGTGATATTGTGATAAGCAATGGTTCTCACGTACTACTTTCCTCCAAATCTCCCTCCCTCCCTCTCTCTCCATTCATTGACTTATAGAACAGGGATGGGGAACAATGGTCCTTTTATGACTTGTGCACTTCAATTCCCACAATTCCTGACCTGCTATTAGTCCCCACCTCTCTTATAGAGCATGCACATCTAGATTGATTCCCTTCCCCCATGGCTATAATTATAGCCCTTTGCTAAATCTTCCAGTTCAGAAAAGAACATTCAGGACTCTACCATCCATTCTCCAGTGGCATAAATTTATGATTTTTTTTTATAATTACAGTTCTTTGCTACACTTCACATTAACTGATGCACACTCTAATTCAACTAATTTATTTTTCCAAAGGTGGATTTCATGAGCAATTTTATGTTTGTGAAAAATCATATTTTCTTCTTTCCTCTATTTGCCAGGTAAATAATAGACATATATTCACTGAGTTCTACTATTTGTTTTTTAAAAAAGTCATTTTTAATAACAGCTGTAAGTAGCTGCAGTAACAAAACAATAAATGTTTAGTGGCATATTTAATCTTACATTCATTGTTCTATCAACACAATAGACTTTTTCAAGGGCAAACATTAATGCTCTCCCCTTCTGCAACACCAGAGAGGGTCTGTCCATGTAGAAAATAGAATTAATGTCTCCCATCATTTTAAGTTGTCCCTTTTATCAGCAAGTTAGAAGCCAAAGGATAACTCTACTTATTGGAAGATTTACAGGTCAGCTCACTGAATTGTACATCTATTGACTACTCAAGGACAAAGCCTTTAACATCTCGACAAAAGCTATGAGATTCTCTTCCAAAGTGAAACAAAAATGTTAGTGTCTTATGACCAAAACACTAGCAAGCATTGAAAGACAACATTATATATTACCTTATTGTACTAGTCATTGTCTTCCATTGTTCTATCTCTTTTCTGGCCTTTTATTATTTCAGACTGAAGTGAATAATTACCAGCAAATTCTTGACTATGAACTACATCTTCTTCAGAGTTACACAAATCTGAATCTTTTTAATCATTTAACACAACGTAAAATAAATATGTGCTCCCAGTTTGTTTCTATTGCATGTATACAGGTAGGCAACTTCTAGGCAAGTAATTTAGAATGAAGAAGACAATTAGCCGTTCTTCCTATGTAAGCGTATTTTGGGCTCAAGCTGATTTTCAATATCTTGGGTTACATACAGATAGATATTTATTTATTTGTTCATTTTTATAGACCACCAATCTCAGTCAAGGACTCTGGGCAGCTTACAATTCAAAAAGCACATTATAACTAAAAATACTAAAAACATTTTAAAATAATAAAAACTTTAGAGCCAGATTAAATATATGCTAAAGCAAGATATTTGGTCAGTTAGCAATATAGCAATTTAGATACCCCCTTCTTCCAAATGCTTGTTGTATAGCTTTCTGAATCGATGTGTGTGTTTGCTCTGTGTGTGTTTGTGTGTAGTCTTTTCTAGTTTATAAGGGATACATATGAATTGTATCTGATGGAAGCAGAATGTAGAAGGATTTGAAAGGAGTCACTTCACTGGATAACTATAGTAATGTTAAAATAGTATTCCATTCCCAAAATAATATTTTCAGAAAAACTGAGGCAGGCTCCTAGTCATGCTTCAATTAGAAGAAATAAAGATAAAGCTTCTTTCAAATTATGTTTAATTCCTGGTAAGGAGATGTGCCTATTTAGGTAGGGTTCTCTCTCTCCTTTTTTTTTTTGGGGGGGGGGGGGGGGGGAGGGCAGCAATATAATCATGCTTTGCAATTATCTGCTTCAAGGATTTTTTTTAAAGTTCTCAGTTTAGTCTACATCTCTGTAAGCCAGGGTCTTCATACAGGTCTTAATAGGACCTGACCTGCCTATCTGTATGGAATGGAATGGATTGGGATGGATTGGATTGGGATTGATTGGGTTGGAATGAGATGGAATAGAGTAGAGTAGAGTAGAGTAGAGTAGAGTAGAGTAGAGTAGAGTA